CGTACACTTTAAGTATCTCGAATTGAGATCGGTGTACAATTTAACTGTCTCTTGTAGACTAATTTACTAATTTCTTTAAAAAAAATTAAAAATTTAGCACGAACATCCTGCAACGGCTCTTATCGCCATTTTCATTATTTATCGTTTGTTAAACATATGGAGCCTTCCATTATATGTGGTTTAAAGTTTTAAATCACGCGGGCATTATGACGCGTTTATGTCCTACAGCATTGTTGATTTCCTAATCTAGGAGAGATAAATGTTAGAAGCGTGGGGTCTGAGTAGTTTAATGGTCAGAACATTCGCCCGGCAAGCGAAAGACCCGGGTTCAATTCCCGGCTTAGCCACTCGCGCCCTGATATTTTTCTCTCTTCCTTTCTTTACAATAATTCCTATACGTACATTAAAGTTTCTCGATATATGAGAACAATGTACTTTAAAATTTTCGTACACTTTAAGTATCTCGAATTGAGATCGGTGTACAATTTAACTGTCTCTTGTAGACTAATTTACTAATTTCTTTAAGAAAAATTAAAAATTTAGCACGAACATCCTGCAACGGCTCTTATCGCCATTTTCATTATTTAAGATATTTATTATTTATTAGACAGTTTTTAAGTTTGCCATATTTGTTTTTTTTTACCGAATAATTCTCAGATAATAATCGAATTTACCTTTAAATACTGCGTCCAAGTAAGACATTGTGTTTATATCATCATATGTTATTTCTTCTGCTTTATTTCTGTTATTGGCTGCGCGTACACGTTTGATTTCTTTGCGGAGTCTGTCCTGGATCGACTGATTTACAGCCAATTCATACATTGTGTGAGTCATCGTTACGGAAGATGTTTCATATGCGCCAAAGAAAAATGTGAACATATTTGCAGCAATAAAGTTATTTGTACTTTCTATAGAAAAAAGTGCGAAAAAATGTATGTTAAATATTTATACTTACAGCATCAATGTTTAATAAATAAGAGTATTTTTGTCAACCTTTCATTATTTCTCTGAAAATTTTAAGAATTGTAAGAAGCTTTTATACCTGGTTTAATCAACTTTCCGTTTTCTTGGAGTCCCATAACGGCATCGGTAATATCGTGCCTAACAATACCATATTTTTTTCTGTAACCGTCAATATCTTTGACTAATTCGGTAAAAAATTGCAAATCTTCCGCATTGTTAAACATATAATAACCGAATAAATCGTATAATTTGTTGTATATTACTATATTTGGTAGCAAATCTGTCAACATTGTTTTCAATTTATTAGCGTTCATCCTCTTTTTAATATATTGTAAAACTTTACTTTCGCCATTTCTTAAAGTCTGCATATCATAACCAAACAGGCAGGTAGCACTCAAGTCAGCGGTATATTTTGCCGTCACTTGGCTATAATTTATTTGCTCATTTTGCAATAACAGTGTGTCCAACCAATCCTTAAAAATCTCCGAGCGTTGCAGTAACAAAGGAACCATACTCTTAAGTTTGCTTGGTGTAAATATGGGCGACACTTTTGCTCTTATGGGTTGCACTTCGTCTGTATTCATGTAGAAAATTTGATGGTCTAACGGTTCCGCCTATAATAAATATGTTTAGATTTTAAATGATAACAATATTATAGTTAAGAATCTTGTAGTTTTTATAATATCTAAGAGAATATGTAGAATTATTTTTGTCCAATATGTTCTTAATCTGCCGTATTAGAATATTAATTGACAGTAAATTTGATTGCATTTGAACATTTGACTTACTAGGATTATATGGCTCTATATGGTTCAAATTAAATTTTTTAAATTTTTTAAGAAATTTTTTAGCGATGAAAACTATTTTTTAATATTACATTTCCAATTTAATATTTAAGAGATTTAATAAAAAAATAAACAAGTAATAGCTAGTAAATAAAAATTATAATTGTAAACACTTTACGTACCTTTTTAGAATAATTAAAGCCTCGCCTTGAAAATATTGCACTGTCTGTAATTAAGACATCCTTGATCAATTCAGGATTGTTGACCATTAAAATCGGCACCGTTTGGTCGAAAAATCCTATCAACGGCTCACTTTTATACGTATTGTATATCTTTTTGTGATAATCTTTTCTACTCATTCTCTGTAATATGACATCCTTCATAGTGCCGAAGAATAGTATGGGTTCGGGCCCGGGTACACCACGCTTCTTCCAGAAATTAAATTTTATCTTGTAATAATAATAAAGCGCAAGGAAGAAGGCGATGAATCCGTATAATAGTTCAAGAAGTCCTAACATCTTTGATGTCTGTTGGAAACAATTCGTCATAATCAAAGATTTTAAATTACATCATTGATAGTTCACTATTATTTTTTACAGATATATTGATTGAATAATATGATTTAGCAGATATTACTTACACAATAAAAATTCAGAGAAAAGTGAAATATCAAGAATGTGTACCACGCTATGATACAAATTTTACGTGCACTTTTGACTACCTCACGTATTTGAGAAAAAACAATTCTATGTAATGACTTGGACGAAGAAGCGTTTATAAATATGTGTCTGAAATGTTACAATATGTATTCTGTTACGCAGCAGTTTTTTTTTACTTTTATTTCTTGCAATTGTTTTTCTTCTAAATTTTGTAAATACGTATTTTAAAACTGTTACATGGTAAGTAGTGAGCGATAAGTTAACAAATGTAAATATAATACTTGCATGCGCATATGTATTTAGAAATTTGGAATGCATGCTGCTTTATTTACTAGCCGTACTATTACCAATACTACAAAATTAAATTTCTAAAAGTATTCGATTCTATCATTATGTTAAACATGACTGTTGCTGACATGAATTTTATTATTAAATAAACACAAGTATTGATTTATACAAACTTGTGTAATTAAAATAATTTTAAATAGCATTAGTTGTTAAATAACAAGTCATTGTTCTGGGATATCAGTAACAAGTTTCAAAATTTTACTATTCATTGAAAATGTATATTTATAAGGCTAAATGTCAAGTTGTAAAATAGCTTATTGACTTTTCGCTTGTTATTGCTATCAATGTAATAATAATATGTATAGAGAACTACTACATTATCATATTACATGTCGCATTAGTACATTAAAAAAAATTCAATTAAAAAAGATAAAAAAATTAAATACTCGGGAAAAAAAGTTTATATCCAGTTATATATAATTATATATAATTTTGTAGATATAATTATGTATGGATTTTGACCTGATCTAATTACATATAAACAGATAAAATTGTTTTTAATTATATATAATTAGATCGTATTATGTATACTTCATATATATCTATGATTAGATACAGTTATATATTTTTACAATTATAATTAGATCTAATCTTTGATGGGTCTATTTTTGTACCATAGTAAATTAAAAAAACCAAAATATCGTCCCTCTCATGCCAAAACTATGAATGTGCACATTTTTTTCAACATTGTTTTTTTTTTGTGAAATTATTTTATGCTACTTGATTTAGTATTTATATAGTTTTAAAGAATACCTAGAATACTTTAGATCTTACAAGGAAAGGGACCCAAGTGTCCCTCTCCGATTTTGACGAGCTTTAAATATGTTGTAAAGTAGCTCAAAATAAGAGACACGTATTTTTTTTTATGTGCTTTCTCACACGTTTAGGGTTGAAACAACCCCTACAAGCTAAAACGGTTTTTTTGGTTTTGACTGAATATCGTCAAAACTGTAAGAGATATCAAAAAATGTTTCGAATAAAAGTTGCATGGTCTTTTATGAGCTTTATAACCGCGTAGCTCGATTTTTAAAAAATTTTATATTTTTAATTTACCCTTACCCTTCTTATTATTT